CTTCCTCTTCCTTTTCATCCTCATCCTCTTCCTCCTCTTCTTCCTCTTCCCCTTCTCCTTCCTCCTTCTCCTTTCTTCTTCTTTTTTGGTACCGGGAATTGAACTTAGGACCTTGTGCTTACCAGGCAGATGCTGTGCCGCTGAGCTATCTCCTCAGCCCACCCTGGCTTATTGTCCAGTGAGAGCTGTGACATTCACCAGTGCAAAGCCAGAACCAGGATCCAGCCTTGATCCGTTTTTTGTCCATCCCAACACCCTTTACTGCAGGTCCTGCAGGGTCCTTTCACTCCTCTCCCTTGCTCCCTTCCCTAAGGTACACACAGCCAGGCTGAGCTTTCACACTTGCCTTGCACTGTCCTTTGCCAGCTCTCAGCCTCCCACCTCCAAATATGAAGCACTGTCACAAGCAGCACTTTTCAGTGTCTGGCCATTTGCTGAATGAATGCTGCCCTAGCCCCTGCTGTACCAGGGCTTCTGTGCATGTAATGTGGGGTCTACGTCGCCTCAACTTGCCTCTAGCTCTTTGGTACCTGGGGCAGGTGGCTTATTGAGTCAATGAGAGTGAATGTGAGAATTAATTTGTATCAAAGATAAACATGAGGCTCCCTGGGTTCTGCGGCCCCCATGCAGGCCTCTCATGGCACTTGAAGCACTTGTCATTGCGCCTATAAGGAAATAAAACCAGAGGGAAGGGGGCAACCAGAAACCACATGGGCATAGTGCCAAATACCTGTAATCCAAGCTATTTGGGAGAATGAGCAGGAGGACTGCAACTTTGAGGCCAGCCTAGACAACTAAAGTTGTAAAAATTGGCTGGGGATGTGGTTCAGTGCACCTTGGGTTCAACTGCAGGAAGGGAGGATCAGAAATACAACCAGCCTCTCATTTCTACCTCCGTCTCCTCCATTAGATACATTTTCCCAGGAGATAGTTGCTGACAAGATGAAGCTAAGAAACTTGTTTCATAAACCAGGCTTCTGGGAGGCTCTGGAGTTTACAGAACTGACTAAAACAAAACACAAGACATGGCAGTTGGTTTCTGACCTCCTCACTGGAGCCAGCAGAGACCAACCTTGAGACTTATCTCCTAGGGAGAGAACGTGTTCTTCTTGGTGACCAATTTCCTGGTGACACCGACTCAAGTTCAGGGCAGGTGCCCAGAGGTGAGTGGGTCCCTACTTCCTCCCTTCAGTTGCCTGGGGCATGGCCCTGTCTCCCTTCTGATTCACAAGTGGCTGAAGGCTCAGTGTGTGCTTTGTGCACCCCAGGCACCAAGCTAAGTCTTTCTGTAAATCATTTAGGCTTTACATAGTAAGAATTACGACTTTCCCAGTAAGAACTATGACTCCCACTGAAAAGGAGATGCCAGGGGCTCAGCAAAGCTGAGTAACTTGCTCAAAGCTTTTAGGCCTGTAGGTGACACCACCCAAACCCCAGTTTCCTTTCAGTGTGGAAGACCTGCCTCATCTTGGAGCCACCTTTCCCCGCAGTCAGTGTGACACCTGGAGCAGGGCTCAGGTGAGCTCTAAGAGCAAGAGGCAAAAGACGGAAGATCACCTTTTCTTCTCCGTGCCCAGCCTCTATTAGTGTATCTGGAGCCAGCTTCCATTTTTATGAGCAAATACCACATTGGTTTTTTTTTGGTGGAACCAGGGATTGAACTCAGGCCCTTGCGCTTGCCAGGGAAGCACTTATTCTACTGAGCCATCTCTCTGGCCCTTATTCCACATTCTTGCTTATGATTATGCTTATGTTTCTGTTGAGGTATAGATTTGCACTAGGGTGGAAAGGAGTTTGCCTCAAATCTCAGGGACCCTAAGAACCCTGCTAAGGAAGGAAAGAAGGAAGGAAGGAAGGAAGGAAGGAAGGAAGGAAGGAAGGAAGGAAGGAAGGCAGAAGGAAGCCACAGATGGGCAAGGGAGGGGCACTCTATTGCTTGTACATTGGGATGGAGTCTAGTTGAAGGAGTTGTGATCAGGTTAGGTGGAGAGAAGGGACATTCTTAGACACAAGTGAGGACAGCAAAGCAGGTGGCTCCATTCTGTCCTCTGTCTTCTGTCCACTAATCATAGCCCCATCCCCCATCCCTTCTTTCCTTAGCAGAAAGCAGGACCACCTTCTCTTCCTAGCTGTCCCCCATAGTGTTTGAATTTGTATAGGCATGAAAAGAGCGAGCAGGGAAGGAGCGATCTGCCAAGTATGTGGGATCCCACTTCCTACCCAGGCTCCGGGGTCCTGCTCTTTGCTGCCCTCTAGCCTCTACCCTGGCTTGCCAGAAATAATGAACTTAACCTATGCAAGATCCTGTCCACTTCCCTGCTCTGTTGTCTGAATTGGAGCTGAGGAGCCAGAGCTCAATGAACCCTTTCCTTCCCTTCTGCCCCCTTGAGAGGAAACTGTAAGGAGCGCAGGGGTCTCACTCTGCTCTTGCAATGCAGCACTATGTCCCATGTCACCGTCCGACTGACCGCCTCCATTTATTTGCACCCCTCAGATTTCCTATGGGCTTCCAAACCTGACTACTCTGGTGGCTAAGGCAGGGAAGAGGGTGTCTTTGTAGACTATAGGGCTGCATCCCTGGGCTGTAGGTAACTGGGGTCTCTTGTCCACTTCAGCACCCCTCTGTCCCACTGGCTAACTGCTGGGCTGATGAGGACTGCCCTGAAGGGGAGACAGGAACACACAGCCACGGTAACTCTGAGCAGAGCTGAGACCCTGCATCTCTCAGTTGTACCAATAAGCCCTGCCCTACACTCTCCCCAGGCTCTGTGGGGATCTAAGGGCCTAGAATTTTTCTTGTGTTTTCAAGGCATAAAAACAGGTCAGTGTGTGGTGTTCAACAGTACCCATAGGACCTGTGAGATCCAGGGCTGGTGCCCAGTGGAAAACAGCACTCTGTCCACGTAAGTCTCCTCTCAATCTCAGGGCAGGGCTCAAATTGGGCAAAATTCTGGCAGCGTACCTTCCACCTGCAGGAGGCCACTGCTGATCCAGGCTGAGAACTTCACATTGCTTATCAAAAACACCGTTACCTTCAGCAAGTTCAAATTCTCCAAGTAAGTGAGGCAGGTCCTGGCTGGCACGAGGTCCCCCCACACCTCCTGATTACCTAATCCTTACCCCTCCCCCCCAGAACCAATTCCTTAGACACCTGGGATGCTGCCTATTTCAAGCAATGTCGCTACGATCCACTCTCCAGCCCTTACTGCCCTGTGTTCCGCATTGCGGACATCGTGACTGCAGCTGGAGGGGACTTCGAGGACCTGGCACTGACGGTAGGTCCTTGGGGTAAAGGGTTCCTGAGGAGATCGGGGAGAGGGTCTTGGGTCTGCTGGTGGAACAGGAGATGTGTTGTGCACAGGGTGGCGCTGTGAGCATCCGTGTCCATTGGGATTGCAATCTGGACACTGGGGGCTCCGACTGCCGGCCACAGTACTCCTTCCAGCTGCAGGAGAGGAGCTACAACTTCAGGTGTGACCCTACTGCTTCCCCCTTGCTCACTTCCCTGTGGCTGCCAAGATTGATGCAAAGCTGGGCCCTAGTCCTGTGGATGCTCCCATGCGTGCCCCAGGGAATTCTGAGTGCAGGAGGAAGTCTTCTTAGCCCCTTATCCTCCAGCACTGGTACCATTTACCCCTACCCTAGTCCATCTGTCCCTTGCCTAGTGCAGACTTGTGACCTCCAGACTCTGGGATGACCCCTACCCCACCCAGCTTCCAGCATCTCCCTCTCCTTCATGGCATAGCAGCTTTCATGTTTACTTTCTGCTTATAATTTTATCTAAAACTTTTCCAAAAATCTATAGACATGTTCAAAGAAACCCAGGCTTGGTGACACAGGCCTGTAATCCCAGAACTTTGGGAGGCTGAGGCAATAGCATGGCAAGTTTGAACTCACCCTAGGAAATTGGCTTAATGAGACCCGCTCTCATAAACAAAACAAAATGAAGAGAGGGGTTGGGGGATGTAGCTCAGTGTGAAGATCTGGGTTCAATCCCCAGTGCCTCAAAAACTGAATGAATAAATGATTAGTGCCATGAACACCCACATACCCTTGCTCTGGGTTCATTAGTAGTTACTGTTTTGCATTTGTTTTCTCTCTTCCTGCCTAGAGAGAGATAGATACATAGAGATAGATTGCAGATAGAACAGTCCTGGGCTGAGGTGGACCTCCGTGGTAGACTACGTGCCAACATTTACACCATCTTGGGTTCAATCTCCCACACCAAAACAACAAAAAAAGAAACTGAAAGTAAGCAGCAGACATGGGACATTCACTCTCTTAACACTGTCCTGAGATAAGGACCCTTTCCCATTTGGATTTTTTTTTTTTTTTTTCTCTGAATGCCTTCAGGGCAGGTTTGGCTGGCTGGAGTGTTGTGGGGATTGAACTACAGCAACCTGAGGCTGACAGCTTTGTGGAAGCAGCCACTTAAAGAACTGAGCTAGGGCCAGGCCCCCCTTTCCTTTTTTTTTTTTTTTTTTTGCGGAACCGGGGATTGAACTCAGGCCCTTGCACTTGCCAGGCAAGCACTTATTCTACTAAGGTATCTCCCCGGCCCCCCCCTTTCCCATTTGACCACCATCCTAATGGCACACCCAAAAAATTAACACCAACAGATTAAATCTGATATTTATATTATCCCACCTATGCCAACTATGGTCCTTAACCTTTGTATTTTTCCAATCCAGGATTCACTCAAAAGTCTTAAATTGGATTTATTGTCATATCTTTAAGTCTCCTAAGACATCCTGGAAACCTGCCACTTACTGTCACCTTGGCATACACTCATGAACCCATGTGTGCACATGTGGCTGCCATCAGGCCTGGGGATGACATAGGCACACCTTGCTGTATCCTGCCAGACCTGGTTTTCCTCTTTCTCCAGTTCTTCGCAACCTTGTGGTGCTGGCTCCCTGCCCTCACTGCTCCTTCCGCCTGTGGTCCTTGACTGGCCTTGCTCCCTCAGCCTGGACCTACTTTGGGAAACCATCCACATGTTCCTTCTTCTCCATTTCTGGGAGAGTGAATTCTTGCCTTGAGGCTCTCACGACCTTCTGTCTGCCCTCACCTCCAACCTCCCTTCCTCCTTCATCTATGTAGGGGTTCTTCTGTCCCCACCTGCCAAGATCCAGGACTCAGGGTTGGGCTAGGGGTTTATAGAGTCAAAGGATGAGTAAGACTGAGGCCCAGGAAAACCAGCCCAGCCTGAGAATGGGTAAACAGGCCCTAATGGCCTCTCTCCTGCCCCCAGAACAGCCAGCCACTGGTGGGAGGCTCCAGGTGTGGAAGCTCGAAGCTTGCTTAAGCTCTACGGGATCCGCTTTGACATCCTCGTCACTGGGCAGGTAGGGATCAGACCAGGGGAGAAGGGTCCAGATAGATGGGCCTGGAGGAAGCATAAGGTGGCAGTCACAGCCTGAGAAACTCACCCCAGCTTTCTCAGGCAGGGAAGTTCGGACTTATCCCCACGGCCATCACAGTAGGCACCGGAGCAGCTTGGCTGGGTGTGGTGAGTTCGATTACCCTCTGCTCCCTCTGGCTGCAGGGAGTGCCTGTCTGTCTGCCAAAGCACCCTATGACTGCACATTTTGTCCTGGGGTGAGAGCTGGGGAGGTGGCAGGAAAGTGGGCTGGGGGTGGGACACGGCTTGACCCTGCCTCTTGCAGATCACCTTCCTCTGTGATCTGCTGCTGCTGTACGTGGATAGGGAAGGTCATTTCTACTGGAGGACGAAGTATGAGGAGGTGAATTGCAGATCTGCCCAGGTACTGGTTTTTGCCACACTTTGAGATATTTCAATCAGATCCTGGACCTGCTGTCTTTGTCTGCAGGCAAAAGCCCCAAAGGCGACTGCCAACCTTTCGTGGACCAAGCCAGTTTTCACACCCACAAGTCCAGCTGTCCAGATGTCGTAGGTGGTGCTACCACTCATCACCCTGCTTCTGGGTACCAGACAATCAATTCCAGGGTGCTCCTGTCTGGACTGCAGCAGCTACTTGCCTGCCTATTCCTGAGACCTATAGCCACCCTATGCTTGTTGGGGTTTGGGGAATGGGGATGGAACAGAATAGGGGTCTTGGCTTAGAAATCTCAAGGATAGAGCCCCAGAAGGACTGGGGTAGGAACTGGAGGGAGGGAGAATGCTACCCTTGAACTCCCAGGAAGACTGTCTCTCCTGGGTCATGCCTTGGCAAGGTGTTACCTGGGAAGCCACAGAAAACAGTTTGGTGGTGGTACAACATGAGCTACAGAGGTGAGTGAACAGGGGAGCCTGACTGCACCATAGGCGAGTGCTTAGCCTGTGAGTGCCTGTGCTTCCCTATGGCAGCCCCTGGTTGTCATAGTTGACACAGGGAGGAGAGAGGGGCAGGGCTGAGTTGGTGATCTTGAGTCTTTTGGGGCCTTCTCTATATTTCTTTGAAGTTTCTCCAGCCTAACTCCCTAAAACTGACCACTAGGCTTGCTGAGAGTCCCAGGTGTGGAAAGGCCATACATCTGGAATTTATTGCCTCCTAAGTCATACCTGGGAACCTCTGGCCAGCTGCCCAACCCTCAGGTGTGCAGCCGGAGGCACTGCAACCCAAAGGCCCTAATTTTGATCTTAGGCAGAGTGCAGTGGCTGGCTACAAGGAATGTCTCTAATAAAGGACATTGAGGTTCTCCTGAAGGTTGGCTAGGTTCAGGTTCTGGAATCCTCCTGAGTGCCTAAGTCCTAGCTGATGGAAATTGACCCCATGTCCTGGGACCCACAATAGGATGGGAGGGACAAAGCCACAAGACCCAAGCCTTCTCTTGGTTCCAGGTTGGAGCCAGGATTTGGAAGTACCCACTCCACGGAAGAAGTGAGAGGCTGCTTTCTCGTGGTGATGAAGGGCATGGTGGGAGGTGCCAGGGCTTGGGCTGAAGCTGGGTTAGCGTATGGAATCACCTGGCACTCACAGCCTCAGTAAATCCTTTGAGGTCCCTGCTGCCTTTAATCCCTAGGAGCTTAGCATCCGGGGAATGTAGCTTCCAGAGAGCTAAGATGGGAAATCATGGCCCAAAAGGCCTGGTTGTTACAGGCTGGTCATATGTACCTGGTTGTCCTTGGAGCTCAGAGAAAGCTGATGTCACTGCTGGAGTAAAAGCTTTCCAAACCCAGCAGCTTTCTGTGTAGTTCTTACAGGGAGAAGGGGAGAGGGAGGTGCCCGTGGTAGACATAGCACAGGCAATGAGGACCCTAGTTGGGGAGACAATGCCTAGGTCAGTGGGGATGGACCTATGGCAGTATGCTTCAGTGGGCACACACAGCCTTCTCTGTCAGCACACAAGTCAAGTCACCCCAGCATCACCTCAGCAGCCGAGCATCAGAGAACAGTGCACATCGGGCTAGTGTGGGCACTTTCCAGTAAATAAATGGGTTTGGGGTTGCAGTTTTGGCATTCACTCTCCAAAAGGTTCACCGTCAATGGCCTAGGGTTTATCCAAGGATTTCCTCCCTCCTGTATGGGGGACACTAAGTGGTCCAGAAGGCAGTCGGGGCAGGCCCAGGTACTTGTGCACCATTTTAGCCTTTACCTCAAATGCTGGCTGAGTGGGCAGAGACAACAAAGAAGCAAAGTGTGGCCCGGGCTCAAGCTTGTTATAGGTGTCACCTCAGTCTGGACATGGCTATGCAGACAGGTGCCTGAGGGTGTGTGTGTGTGTGTGTCACCTGCCTGTGTGCAGATGTGCCTCAGTGTCCTGGGGCCAGACCTCAGGCACATGTCTCTCTAGGAACCCCTGCCTTTTCCAAACTTCTCAGGATCCAGGCACTTCTCCTTGGATCTACTTGACAAGAACACGTGGGGAACCTGTCCCACTCCCCCCACTGTCCCCTCCCTCTTCATCAGGTGTATGTAGCTCCCCTCTGAACTGGTCAGGAGGCACTGTCCTGAGGGAGAGGCCTGGACCCAAGGCTGGGTGGGCATGTGGGGGATCCCAGAGCTACCTTAAGAGGACTTCAGCATTTTTGCTGTAGATTGGGGACAATTGCCTGATTCTTAGGGGGTGGGTTAGAACTCAGGGTCACAAAAAACGCCAGAGTAAATGTAGTGGTTGCCTATATGGCTGGCCAAGCTCTTATTATTATGGATCCCTGGGGATGCAACCTCTTCCCTGCCCACCCTACCCCACCTGCCCAGTAGCTGGAATTGGTCATAAATAGGAAGGCGCTGAGCAGAGAGTCCACCGCATTAGTGTTGGCCAAGGTCCATCCCCTAAAGACCAGAAGCTTGGTACCTGGAATACAGTCTTAATGTCCTGAGAACTTATCAACCGGAAGAGCTGTACATCCACGCTGCCATGGACTGATGCAACTCCCAGTTCCTCTGGCCTCTCAAGGATGTGAGGGAGGGCAGGAAAAGCATAACTTGGTGTACAGACTTTCCAGCTACTCCGTGCTGTCAGGCCCTTGGGCTGGTTCCTGACTGGCAGGCTGCACAGGCTGCACTGTTTCTTCCAGGCTGCCGCTGGGGAATACCACATAGCGTGTGGTGGTCTGCCCTGGTGGCTCTTGCTGGTTCTCTTTGCTGTGCCTGATGCCATAACCGAAATACACAGCAAGTCCTGCAGGGGTGGTAATGAATCTGAGGGGCAGGTCCAGCCTGCCTGCCCTCTCATCCCCCCTCGAATGCACTCAGGCTCCCAGCCTGGCCCCCACTCACCAATCAGCAGCCAGATGGCAAAGCGCATCCAGGTCAGGTAGCTCAGCTTCAGCATGAGGCAGATATTGAGGAGGATGCTCAGGGCTGGAGTCAGGGGCACCAAGGGAATCTGAGGGTGCAGAGGCAAGGCTGAACTAGGCTGCAGGAGAGAGCCGCCAGCCCAGGGTCTGACTTCACCAAAGTTCCACAGAGCCTCTATTTGTCTCTAGAGCTATTGAAGGCAGCTCCCTTGACATGCACAACGATAGATGGGTGTGAGAATGGGTGGATGGGCCGTCCCAGTCCCGTGGACCCTTATTTGTAATGGGATGGAAGAGGAAGGGGCAAAGGGAGCTGCCTGGGCTGAGAGTGAACAGGGTTTTCTGGGGAGGTACCTGGAAAGTGTCTTGCCGGTGCTGTTGCTGGTGAGCCCCCAGGACCAGGAGGCTGAGCAGAAATACCACACCACTGACAAGGAGCAACAGGATGTAGCCCCACCGTGGGAGGTACAGGGCTGAGTCCCCAAAGACCAATATGCAATCCAGCATGATAGCTGAGGTCACCAGAATACCAAGTGCCCAAGTCACAGCAGTTCCAGGGGTGAGCTCTCCCAGGAAGCCAAGGTAGGGCCTGAGGGCTGGTCGCAGTTGCCCAGGCTCAGGGCTTGAGGCTTGTACAGACCCCACTAGCTGTATGTGGTCTGAGAAGGAGTCATACTTCTTGGCTGTGAGGTCAGGGCTGGCTGGGCCTGGGGAGCTGGGTGGAGATGACTTCTGGAAGCGCAGCACAATGATGCTGGCAGCCACGAAGGTATAGGCCAGGAGAGTGCCGATGGACAGAAACTGGACCAGTGCCTCTAGGTCTAACAGCAGTGCCAGGAGAGCCATGAGGACCCCAAAGACCAGAATGCCCATCACAGGCACCTGTGTTCGGGGGTGCACACGGGCAAACACTTGGAAGAAGAGCCCATCAGCGGCCATGGCATAGACGATGCGCGGCAAGGAGAAGAGGTTGCTGAGTAGGACGGTGTTCATGGCTGCAGCAAAGGGTAGGGGAACTATGAGCATGGTAAATAAACCCACCAGGGGCTGCTGGTAGGGCTGGGGCATGAGTGGCCCCTGGAATTACGGGCGCGAGTTTGTCTGCAGTCTCAGTATGAGTGTGTGTGGGGGTGCTAAATTGTCACCCAATCACTCAGGAATGGGGCATCCCAGTTTAGGTTACTGATGTTTTATATATAACTGCAGGGGATGGGGTCCTCTCCAACTTGGTGGAAAATCTTAAAAATTAGCACCTTCCTGAGGCCACTATGTAACTGGTAAAACTGAGGCCTGGATGGAGATGTGTTTTCTGAGAGGCTCAGGGAAGGACCACAATGCACTATTTTCTCCCACCCTGTCTGGAAGGGCCTCTTACCACAGATGGAGCCAGCTGCCACGATGAAACCAGCCCAGCTGTAACCCCGCCGGTAGAAAGCATCAGCAAGTGCAGAGTCAGGGTCCAGACTGTGCCAGGGCACCATGAGGGTTAACACAGTAGAGACGAGGATGTAAGCACTGGCCGCCAGGCCAAGGGAGACTGCAATGGCCATGGGCACAGCCCGCCGGGGGTTCTGGGCCTCCTCACTGGAGGCAGCAATGACATCGAAGCCCACAAAGGCATAGAAGCAGGTGGCAGTGCCTGCCATAATGCCAGAGAAACCAAAGGGTGCAAAGCCCCCCTCCTCGGCACTCCAGTTATGGGGGCGGGCCAGGATGAAGCCCAGAATGATGATGAAGAGGATGACAATCAAGCTGATGGCTGAGAAGGTGTGGTTGAGCCAGGAGGAGACTCGGGCTCCACAGGAGACAAAGGCAGAAGCCACGAGTAGGATGCCAGCAGCCAGGAAATCTGGGTACTGGGCCAGGAAGGGAACCTGCCAGACACCCACTTGAGACTCGGTGAAGTTTCGAATCTTGTGGCTAAAGATGGCATCCAAATAGCCACTCCAGGCACGGGCAACTGCGGCACCCCCGATGACATATTCCAGGAGCACGTTCCAGCCTATGAGGAAGGCCCACACTTCACCCATGGACACATAGGTGAATAGGTATGCGGAGCCTGTACGGGGCACTCGTGCTCCAAATTCTGCATAGCATAGGGCTGCTAACAGGGAGGCCACAGCGGCCACACCAAAGGACAAGAGCACAGCAGGGCCAGCCATGTCCTTGGCCACAGTGCCTGTGAGCACATAGAGGCCTGAGCCCACCATGCCACCCACACCCAGCAGGGTCAGGTCCAGTGTGGACAGGCAGCGCCGTAGGGACGTCTCCATGCTGGACTCCTCCAGTGGCTTCAGCCGGTTCAGCTTCTGGCAGAAGCGTGCCAGGCTGGCAGCACTGGGCAGTCCCCAGGCCATGATGGGTGGTTATGAAGAGTACCAAGCCAGAAGCTGGAACCTCCTACGGCCAGACAGAGGGGAATGACAGGTTGCCCAGCTAGGTCCCTGCCAGCTTCATTCCCATCCTGACTCTCGTCTCCTCTTGGGGACCCTGGACACCTATAAGGAGGGCCTACTGTAGGATCAGACAGGGGCAGAAGGTTGCAGAGAAGCCAGCTAGATGGCCCTGAGGGTAGGGAAAAGCCAGTTCCACAAAGCAAGAGAGGCTAGTAACAGCTCAGTAGTCTAGCAGCTAAGAAAAAGGTGAAATGCAGGGAGGCTTCCCGGGAACTGGGCCAGGCCTACAGGACCCGGAACAGAAGCGACTCTGTAGCTGGGCTCTGTAGCTCGGGGCGTGGCCCAAAAGGCCACCTGGCCGGGGAGAGAAGCAGTCACCCCCCCTGCTGCCAGGCTGGAGTCTCAGCTCACCTGGTCTCAAGGCGCGGGGGCGCCCTGGCCCTGAGCCCCGGATCTGGAGCCAAGACCTACGCACCTCCCCGTGCATCCACACGCCACCGGCGCCGGCCAAGCCAGCTCCGCTGTGCCCTGACTCCAGCTACCCGAGCTTTTGGCTGTTTTCCAGGTCAGAGCCCGTCCCCCACAAGACCCGCTGCGACCCACCTGCTGTCGCCACTGCAGCAGCCACGGCTCTGAGGCGCCGAGAGCTGCGCCCGCCCCACCCGCTAGCGCCGCCTGCACGCAGCGCCTGCTCCCGCCCCCAGGCTCTGGATCCCGCAGGCTGCACGGCTTGCATCGCCTACGAGGTCCTGCAAAGGGAAGCGTTCCACCCGCCACCACACACCCGGATAACTACCTTGTACACATCTCCCAGGTCGACAGTAACTTAATGGGCTCGAAGGTAGCCCTAACCTTGGAATACATTCAGGAAGCGCCGTTCACTAGGGACCGGATTAAGATCCAGGTCTGGGGGTGCTGAGCCCAGTCTGCTTTTGCTGCAACAAGTACCCTCCTTGATCCCCACCCCACCACGTGAACCCCATCCAGCTGGGCACCACCATCCAGACCCTGAACACAGGGTTTCTTGGGTCTGTGAGATGAGGGCATAGCCCTGGATGAGTGGTGCTGGGCAAGCCCTGCCTTCTCAACCACAACCGTATGTCAGGAAGCCTCACACACTGGTAAGAGAATGCAGCCTTTTGGGGATTCTCTGTGGACTGACAGAATTCACACTGGCTGCCCTGAGCCTACAGCTACAAGAT